TCATTGTTAATGATCTTGAAGTATTTAAAAAAATCTGAATAATCTTTTATCTTCCAGTTCCTCATCTTTCCATCTATCACCATCCTATCAGAATAAAGGTGTAGCATACACACACATAGAAGCACACACACACAGGAATATTATTCATCAGTACAAAATATTGAAATGCAGTCATTTGCAAAAATGTGAATGGACCAACAAGGGTATTATGCTTAGTGAAATAAGTCAGATAGAGAAGGCAAATACTGTATGCTATTACTTATGTGTAGAATCTTTAAAAAAAAAAAAAAGAATAAATATAGCATAAAGAAATAGACTCATAAAGACCAAACTAGAGGTTACCACTGGGGAAAGTGGAGGAGGTAGGAGCAAGATGGGGGTAAGGTGATAAGAGGTACAAACTACTGCATTTAAAATTAATAAAATTCAAGGAGCTTCCCAGGGTAACAGAAATAAAAACAAAAAATGTACACGATGTTGTACAGCAAAGGACATGATAAAAAGACAACCTATGGAATGGGAGAAAATATTTGCTAATGATGAAACCAAAATTGTTTAATTTCCAAAATATACAACCAGCTCATACAACATTAAAAACAAACAACCTAATCAAAAAATGGGCAGAAGACCTAAAACACATTTCTCCAAAGAAGACACAAAGATAGACAGTAGACACATGAAAAAAATGCTCAATGTCACTAATTATCAAAGAAATGCAAGTCAAAACTACAAGGCACCACCTGACACTGATTAGAATGACACTTAATGACATTTTATCAAGAAGTCTACAAATACCAATGCTGGAGAGGTTATGGAGAAAAGGAAACCCTTCTACATTGTTGGTGGGAATATAAACTGGTATAGTCACTATGGAAAACAGTCTGGTGGTTCTTCAGGAAACTAAAAACAGAAGTACCTTATGATCCAGTAATCCTATTCCTGGCCATATACATGGACAAAACTGAAACTCAAAGACACATGCACCCCAGTGTTCACTGAAGCACTATTTCATTGAGTCACTTAGTTGTACAGTGGAAATTAGTACAAAATTATAAATCAACTATGCTTCAGTTGAAAAAATGCAAGAATTATTGTGCAGCACATGGAAATATAACCTTTATTCTATAATAACTTTAAATAGAGTATAATCTACAAGAACATTGAACTGCTATGTTATACACCTGAAATGAATATAATATTGTAAATCAACTATACTTTAATAGAAAATAAAAGATCAGGGGTTATTTTTTAAAAAGGTAGCTTCAAATAATACATGCATTTGTTTATTTTCAATTACTCTTAGTTGCCTACACAATAAAGTTAAAATGCTATTAGTAATCCTGAAACAGCCTCAGTTTCTTTTAAAGTTCCTCTTCTATTTCCCATCCCTCATAACATATGCCAACAGTACCAAGTACAATTGTTTCTAATCAGTTTAGATTGTTTGCTATTTCTACATAAAACCTCATCTTTCTCTATTTCTATCTTTGTACTTCAGCTGTTCTATCTACCTCAATCCTTTTCCTCTCCTTTTCTCCTAAATATACAGTTGGTTTATTTTTCGCCTGTTTCTTTTGCTTTTTACCTGTTAATGAAGGACCAAATGAGAGTTGAACCACTTTTTGGAGCTGTCCCTTGTTCACTCACCACATCAGTGGAATTAATTATTCCTTCACCTCTTACCATGTGCTTTTGTGTATTTAACCATTATATGGTATACTGCATCTTTGTATATTTAGGTGTATCTTATATTCCCTGATAGCTCAGTTGGTAAAGAATGCCTGCAGTGCAGGAGACCCCAGTTTGATTCCTGGGTCGGGAAGATCCACTGGAGAAGTGATAGGCTACCCCAACTCCAGTATTCTTGGGTTTCCCTTGTGGCTCAGCTGGTAAAGAGTCCGCTTACAATGAGGGAGACCTGGGTTCAATCCCTAGGTTGGCAAGAGCCCCTGGAGAAGGGAAAGGCTACCTACTCCAGTATTCTGGCCTAGAGAATTCCATGGACTATACAGTCCAGGGGGTCACAAAGAGTCGGACACAACTGAGCGACTTTCACTTTCATTATGTACCTTAATTTTGCACATGTTTGATCATCTTGAAGGAGGCATGATATATTCATCTTAGCATCTTGCAGTGTTCTCAGATGCCTGGTACCGAGAAGATGCTCAATTCATTGCTGGGGTTTTGGACAAACTACACTTTGGTGTCCTTAGAAATGAATGTGTAACTTCAGGATAAATGCTTGAAATACACATAAGAATCATTAGAAAACAAATTTAATTAAATAGACTATTATGAGAATTATTTCAAATTCTTTATGTTATGAATTTACCTTTTTTATCCTAAACCATAATATTCCAGATCCAGAAGACACTGTGTATTCACTCCAGAAATGCATTCTATACACTCCAGTAATACACTTTTTAACCAAATATATTTGTTAAAAGTAATGTTTCATAAACCTGATTTTGGAATGCAAACTTTGAAGGGTATAGTTTTGAATACCAAATTTCTGTAATTTTTAATTGATTTCCCTGCTTTAGAGTCATGCTTATTACTTTTGAAAAGACCTCAAAGATAAACAATGACTTAGATTATGGCTGCTCAATTTAAAGAAGAAAGAAGACAAGATGAGAACTCAGGGTCACTGAGAAAATAAAGCAACTGGGCTTTGGCATATACAAATTAAAGGAATTTTAAAAGTTTTCCAGAACCTACCTGCAAGCAGATGGCAGTAAAACACGTAAAAATGTGCATGACATGCTCCCTTTCTTCAGGTTTGCTTTTTCTAATGGAAAATTTTGGGTGCAGTGAAGACAAAATAGAATTGCATTTGCAATGCTATTCCTCATTTTATATAATGACTCAGCTTTTAAATTGTAAACCATGATTCTAAATGACTCATGCCTAATCTATCTGTAAAATATACAAAGTTCATGAATTTGAATCATACCAACTCAATTTGTACATCTGGAGGAAATTATATTTGGAGGAACAATTAATGGTAATACATTTTAACATAATGTATAAGCTGAACTTCTGTCATTATTTTTGAAATCTTAGTTTTAGACAGCATGAAGAAATACATATATAATTGGAAAACAAATTTCATATGGATTTAGACCTTGTGAATGATGGTGAGTGAATGAAATTGAGAAAAGTAAACAGAAGATAGGCTTGGGTCTAAAATATAGTTTTTACACACTTAAAATACTATAATATTAAGTGAGAAAATGAAGACTGAGTGCCTATTAATCTAAAATAAAGATACATTTTTATGTGTATACATGTATACACACACCGTGTATATATATATATATATATATATATATATATATATAGTCATGCATGTATTCATAAACACATATTTCTGTGTTGACAGACAGTGAAAAATGGCAACCCACTCAAGTACCTGGAGAATCCCATGGACAGAGGAGCCTGGGGGACTATAGTCCATGGGGTCGCAAAGAGTCAGATACAACTGAAGCAGCTGAGCATGCAGACAGTGACTGCTTAAAATGCATTTTCCTTTGAAGAGTGACAAAGTACCAATACCACGCAGGCTATGTTGGTTGGTGTTACTGTTCTTGCAAAGTTTGAATATCAAGGAAATTAATTTTTTATCTCTAATAATTACTCAGGCATAATTTCCAAATTATTCACTTTTAATTTTTGGTCTTCAGTTTATCATAGATTTAAGCATGTCCACCTGAACAGAGGCTGCATAGACATTTGAAGGTAAACTGCAGTTCTGGTATTCACTAATATAAACCTAGTGGACTTTTTTTCAAGTGGGGCATTGTACTTGCACAGTTTTAGTTCCTTGACCAGGTATTGAACCTGGGCCTTTGGCACTGAAAGCACAGAGTCCTAACTGCTGGACCAACAGAAAATCACCTTTGCTTTTGTTTTTGATGCTATGTTCTTTTTTTATTTTCTGTAATGTTAGTTTAGGAACTTACCTCATGGTCCAGTGGCTAAGACTCCACACTCCCAATGCAGGGGGTCTGGGTCTAATTCCTGGTCAAGAAACTAGATTCCACATGCCGCAGCTAAGAGTTTCAATGCCACACCTAAAGATCCCACCTGCTGCAACTAAGACCTGGTGCAGCCAAATAAATAAACATTTAAAAACTAAATGTTAGCTCATTGGGGGAAAGTCCAAAGTCAGGCTAGAGAGCTCCTAGATGTACATATTTATATTTATGCTGTTATAATTTAAAAAAATCTGCCCTCATGAATTTAAGTTCCTAGAAGGTTTATGATGTTTTGCTTTAACTTAAATTTATAATCTTGGTCCATGTCCTTCTCATAGTCACTGATAACTGAATCAAATATAGATATCAAATGTTATTTTATTGCCATCCTCACTCTAAAAAAATTATTTACTGCTATTAAAAGATGAGTAGAAGAGGTAGACATAATTTTCACCATGATCATTTTAGAGCAATTTGAAACTCAGGTTCACCAAATAGTCTATGAAAGTTTCTCTAAATCTGTTTATGTTCTACCATACTCCAGCGTCACAATTACATATGAGATAACAGCTTCAAGACCTGAATTTCTATGATATAAAAATGAGTGATGGGAAAATGAATATTACTTAACAGTAAGAAAGCAATTATTGCATGGATCTGCAATTCTACAGGCACTTATTTTTTTATAAAAATTAAAGGATTCAATTCAGAGGTGCATCTGTATACTTTCTGAAATCTGGATACCATGCTCTAAATTAACATTCAATCCTTATACAAGTGGCTTCCAGAATCTGATTCATTCTAAAATCTTCTAAGTAAATAAAGAGAAGCTGTACTGACTTAACATTTCTTTAAGAAATCTGACATGATTTCTTGCTATTCCAGTTTCATGAAAGTTTATATACTCCAGCTGAATTTCTTCTAACCTACGTGACCCTATAAGAATTGGTGGGGTAAGGTGGGTTGTAGCTGCTGTTTCAAGCATCTTCCACATGTGATGTGTAAGTGTGATGCAGTACTCACCGCTGACATGATAAGCTCTCCCCCCAGGTTCTGAATCTCAGCTTTAACTTGACTGCAGATCTTCAGCTGGTGAGAGTAGAACTTAATCTGTTCCAGGTAGGCCAACAAGTCCTGTTTGCACGATGGATCCGGGCACTAAATATGTATAAGAGATAAAGTGAAAATATCAAAACAAAGAATTGGATCAAAGTGAGTAAACACTGAGACTACGTTTAAGTACCTTTAAGGCACCAACTTTATTTTCATTGAGTCCCATTACTTAGACCAAACCCATGTAGATTTTGATATGCTTTCCCCATTAGCAGAGTTTATTCATGTTCCAATCTTAATTACTTCAGCATGCTAAGTCACTTCACTCGTGTCCAACTCTTTGTGACCCCAAGGACTGTAGCCTGCCAGGCTTCTCTGTCCATGGGATTCTCCACACAAGAATGCTGGAGTGGGTTGCCATGCCCTCCTCTACTTCAGCATGGTTAGAAGAAATAGTACAGAATTTCCAGACATGAAAAGGTACATAAAAATAATTGCCTTTAATTTATCGTAATGTTAGAAATTTTATAGTTCATTTTTAGGTAAATCTAAAGAAGTATTTAAAATGCAATGATTCCTTTCTTCTAAACTTGCTATCAGAATACTCCTTGGGACTCATAGCTCTGCATTGTCTGTCCTGTGTAATTAATATTTATATGGGCATTAAAAAACATCTGTAACAGGACATATATTATGTCCTATTACTTTCAGAATTTAATGTTCTAATGTTCTTAGACCAAAGAAATAATTTCAATAGTAGCTAACAGTTATGGATCTACTTGGAGACAAGAATCAAGCAGCATACATATTTTAGAGATGTATTACTTTACCAAAAACAGTCTCCTACATTATGTCATCTTCCATAAGGAATTTACTGTAGTAGGGCTTAATCACAACATGACAAATATCTGTGGTCAGTGTTTAATCTTTGTGTTCTTTCTCCTATACAAGTAGAATAGTTTTTTAAATATCCTCAATAACTTAATTTCACTTTAAATATAATACATATTCATAAGGGTATGGAAATATGAACAGTAATTTATATGCAAAGATATTCACTACAGCATTACTTACAATAGGAAAATTTGGAAATAAATGCTCTATAATAGTGAAAAGATTAAATTAGGATACATAGCTATGTAATATTATATAGTTTCAAAAATAATATTTTCAAAGGAAAATGTTTTTAGAAAGTGAAAAAGCTCAGTATTTAAAATTTCACATGCCATATCAATCAAACTGTTGAAAAACTGTTTTTATGTTTGTGTGTAAAACAAAGTGGGAAATACATATGTGAATGTGAAAATGGTAAATAAACATGGTATCGGTATTTTTCACTTTCTTCATACTTTACATATCTTAATATTTATATTCTTAAAATATATTGATGCTAGTCACTCAGTCATGTGAAACTCTTTGTGACCCCATAGACTGTAGCCTCCTCTGCCCATGGAATTCTCCAGGCAAGAATACTGGATTGGGTTGCAATTCCTTTCTCCAGGGGATTTTCCCAACCTAGGGATCGAACTCAGGTCTCCTGCACTGCAGGCAGAATCTTTACTGATTGAGCCACCAGGGAAGCCCTTAAAGCATATTACTTCTATAATAATAAAATGTTATTTCTGAAAAGGTTTTTAATCTAATAACCAAAAATAAAAAGTAAAAAGTAAAATGAAAGACAAGACAGCATTTCATGCATTTCTGCTTTTGCATAGTAATTCATAAACTAGAGTATTACTGAAACATTTCTGAGAATTTTATTCTCTTTTATATTTGCTAAACAGACTAGTCTACATAACTCCAAAATATGTTGACAACATGAGAACATGTGACCTTTAAGTAAAAGTTATTCAACAAAGGTAGCAAAGTTATAAATTCTACAGCAGAAATACTATCAATATTTAGATAGGAATGGACAGATGAGTGAATTTATGTGTACATGTTACCCAGTCAGAGAGACAATCAGATAAGATGATAGAGAAAACTTGAATTAAGGGTGTTTCTCAAGTTCTAAGGGCTTCCCTGGCTCAGCAGTAAAGAATCTGCCTGCAATGCAGGAGCCACAAGAGATAGGGGTTCAGTCCCTGTATCAGGAAGATCCTCTGGAGAAGGAAATGGCTACCCACTCCAGTATCCTTGCCTGGAGAATTCCATTGACAGGGGAGCCTGGCAGGCTACAGTCCATAGGGTGGCAAAGAGTCAGGAGCAAGACTGAAGCAACCTCACTCAAAAAAGGAGGAAGTATACAAACAGAACCTGGTTTCACCAGGACCCAGGAGAAAGGAGCAGGACCCCATAAGAGGCTGACCCAGACTTGCCCGTGAGTGTCCAGGAGTCTCTGGCAGAGGTGTGGGTCAGCAGAGGCTGGCTGCAGGGCCACATACACCATGAGTGTAGCAGTGTATGCATGGGACCTTTTGAAGGAGGTCAACATTCTCTTCATTACCCTCACCATAGTTTGGCCTCAGGCCAAATAACAGAGAGGGAACACAGCCCCGCCAGTCAACAGAAAATTGGATTAAAGATTTACTGAGCATGGCCCTGCCCATCAAAACAAGACCTAGTTTCACCCTTAGTAGACTTTTCCATCAGGAAGCTTCCATAAGCCTCCTATCCATCTCCATCAGAGGGCAGACACTGAAAACAACAATCACAGAAAACTAACCAATCTGATCTCATGGACCACAGCCTTGCCTAACTCAGTGAAACTAGGAGCCATGCCATGTACAGCCACCCAAGACAAACAGATCATGGTGGAGTGTTGTGACAAAACATAGTCCACTGGAGAAGGGAATGGAAAACCATTTCAGTGTTCTTGCCTTGAGAACCTCATGAACAGTATGAAAAGGCAAAAAGATATGACACTGAAAGATGAATTTCCCAGGTTGGTAGGTGCCAAATATGCTACTGGAAAAGAGTGGAGAAATAACTACATAACGAATGAAGAGATGTAGTCAAAGCAAAAAAAAAAAAAACACCCAGTTGTGGATGTGACCAGTGATGGAAATAAAGTCCAATGCTGTAAAGAGCAATATTGCATAGGAATCTGGAATGTTAATTCCATGAATCAAGGCAAACTGGAAGTGGTCAAACAGGAGATGGCAAGCATGAACATTGACATTTTAGGAATCAGTGAACTAAAATGGACTGGAATGGGTGATTTTAACTCAGATGACCATTATATCTACTACTATGGGCAAGGATCCCTTAGAAGAAATGGAGTAGCCATCATAGTCAACAAGAGTTTGAAATGCAGTACTTGGATGCAATCTCAAAAACGACAGAATGATCTCTGTTTGTTTCCAAGGTAAACCATTCAATATCGAAGTAATCCAAGTCTATGCCCTGACAATAATTTTGAAGAAGCTGAAGTTGAATGGCTCTATGAAGACCTACAAGACCTTCTAGAACTAAAACCCAAAAAAGATGTCCTTTTCATTATAGGGGACTAGAATGCAAAAGTAGGAAGTCAAAAAATACCTGGAGTAATGGGCAAATTTGGCTTTGGAGTACAGAATGAAGCAGGGCAAAGGCTAACAGAGTGTTGCCAAGAGAAGGCACTGATCATAGCAAACACCCTCTTCCAATAACACACAAAAAATTCTACACATGGATATCACCAGATGGTCAATACTGAAGTCAGACTGACTATATTCTTTGGAGCTAAAGATGGGGAGTTCAGTTCAATTCAGTCGTGTCTGAATCTTTGCAACTTCATGGACTGCAGCACGCCAGGCCTCCCTGTCCATCACCAACTCCCAGAGTTTACTCAAACTCATGTCCATTGAGTTGAAGATGCCATCCAACCATCTCATCCTCTGTTGTCCCTTTCTCCTCCCGCCTTCTATCTTTCCCAGCATCAAGGTCTTTTCAAATGAGTCAGTATTTTGCATCAGGTGGTCAAAGTATTGGAGCATCAGCTTCAACGTCAGTCCTTCAAATGAATATTCAGGACTGATTTCCTTCAGGATACACTGGTTTGATCTCCTTGCTGTCTAAGGGACTCTCAAGAGTCTTCTCCAAACCACAGTTCAAAAGCATCATTTCTTCCATGCCCAACTTTCTTTATAGTCCAACTCTCACATCCATACATGATTACTAGAAAAACCATAGCCTTGACTAGACCAACCTTTGTTGGCCAAGTAATGCAAAAAGTACAAAAAGGCAAAATGCTTGTCTGAATAGGCCTAACAAATAGCACAAAAAGAAGAGAAGCAAAAGGCAAAGGAGAACAAGAAAGATATACCCATTTGTAATCCAGAGTTCCAAAGAATAGGAAGGAGAGGTATGAAAGCCTTTCTCAGTGATCAATACAAAGTAATAGAGGAAAACAATAGAATAGGAAAGACTAGAGATCTCTTCAAGAGAATTAGAGATACCAAGGGAAATTTTCCTGCAAAGATGGGCACAATAAAGGACAGAAATGGTATGGACCTAACAGAAGCAGAAGATACTAAGAAGAGGTGGCAAGAATACACAGAAGAACTCTACAAAAAAGATCTTCACAATGCAAATAATCATGATGCTGTGATCACTCACCTAGAGCCAGACATCCTGGAATGCAAAGTCAAATTGGCCTTAGGAAGCATCACTATGAACCAAGCTAGTGGAGGTGATGGAATTCAGGCTGAGCTATTTCAAATCCTAAAAGCTGATGCTGTGAAAGTGCTGCACTCAATATGCCAGCAAATTCAGAAAACTCAGCAGTGGCCACGGGACTGGAAAAGGTCAGTTTTCATTCAAATCCCAAAGAAAAGAAATGCCAAAGAATGCTCAAACTACCGCACAATTGCACTCATCTCACACGCTAGCAAAGTTATGGTCAAAATTCTTCAAGCCAGGTTTCAACAATGTGTGAACCATGAACTTCCAGATGTTCAAGCTGGATTTAGAAAAGACAGAGGAACCAGAGGTCAAACTGCCAACATCCGTTGGATCATCAAAAATGTGAGAGAGTTCCAGAAAAACATCTACATCTGCTTTATTGACTATGCCAAAGCCATTGACTGTGTGGATCACAAAATACTGTGGAAAATTCTTCAAGAGATGGGAATACCAGACCGCCTGACCTGCCTCTTGAGAAATTTGTATGCAGGTCAAGAGGC